CAGGCGTCCAGGTGGGGGAGACCACACGGCAAAGGCAAGGCGGTGGGGACATCAGGGTGAGCTGGAGCCTAGAGGGCTAACGGGAGGCGCGCCCCTCCCTCCCGAGCTCCGAGCTCCGTCACCCCAGCTCTGCTCGCCACCCCTGGCCAGCTGGGTGCATCTTTAAGGGCTGTCGTGTTTCTCTTGTCTACTCGGGTCTGCCAGATAGTGGCTCTCCCATCGCGACTGTGCCTGGCATGAGCTCAGACCCGGGAAGCATCTGCCGCCTGGAGGGGTGCAGAGTGGAGAGCACGGAGGCTGCGCAGCCATGTTCCGTGTGCTCCCCTCTACGGGTTTGGGGGTCAAAGTGCAGGGGGGAAGGAGGCCTGAGCCAGTGGGCCGGGCCCTCAGGGCTGCTGGACGGAAACATTTCATGAACATCAAGGTGGAGCAGGAGGTGGGGCGTCTGTGATCTTCATTCTGCATGTGGTGTCCTGTGTCTTGGTGGGGAGGGGCTTGCGGACTTCAGGACCCACCTGCCATCTGCATCAATCAGCCCAGCAGACCCCCAGGGGGAGGGAAGGGGCCATTGGCCCTGCATCTGTGTAAACTGAGGCACAGAGAAAGTAAAGCAGGTTCTGAGGAAGGAGTGTGCTCAGAGATGCACCTCGGGCTTTCTCTTGGTTCTCCTGTCCACCAAGGCCAAGACCTCTGCGTGCTCTCTCCTTAGAGAGCAGGTTCAATGCCATCTATCTCAAAGTCGAGATGGTGAAGACCGGATGAACGCTGACACCCCAGCCCCACACTAGAACAGAACTACAGTCTGCACGCATGTGCAGATGTTCTGAGAGAGGCATTTCCTCCTCCCAGGAAGTTGGTGGGGTGGGTAAGGCAGTTATGATCGTCCCACATTACAGATAGGGAAACTGAGGCTCAGGGAATTCAAAGCCTTGCCCAGATCACCCAGCCCGCGAGTGGAGAAGCTGGGACGTGAGCTCAGGTCTTCAGATTCTAGGTCTGTGGCTCTTGCTGGGTATCGTCTGCCCCTCTCTGGAGCTGCCTCTCTCTGGAACCTTCTGCCGGGTCTCGGACATTCAGAGATCCCAGCTCCCAGCTCCATCCCCTCACCCCTGGACCCCACTCTCCTGCTCTTCGCCTTTCTCCCTCAGCAGCAACTCTGCCTTTAACCTGCAAAGACCCCGTGGGAACCACAGGCCTCTCTTGCCTTCATCCACAGAAGGTTTTGCCCCTGACTGAACAGTTATGTAGAGCAGCAGAGCGGCGTTCTCAGACCGTACTCTGTGTGCAGCTGAATCACCCAGATTGCTTGCTAAAAGGCAGCTTCCAGCTCCGCAGGTCTGGGGTGGGTCCTGGGATTCTGCATCTAGAACAAGGTGAGCCTGCTGGTCCAAGGACTGGACTTTGGGGAGCAAGTGGGTAGCAGTAGGATGGCTTTGGACACCGCCTGCCTGGTCTGTGGCTGGCACCCCCTCTCTCTTTTCTTTCTCACCATCTCTCTCCTGAGGCTCAAAGGTCAGCTTCTGTCTCAGAGGCACAAGGAAAGGATCCCCAACATTTCACGGCAGTGCAGGCAGCTGGCAGGCAACCTCTATGCGGGGCACTGGAGGGCCATTCCCCATGCTCAACCACACCCTCCCCATGCCAGAGGGCTCCTGGGAGTGGCAGCTGCCTTTTTGGGCACTGCCCTTCCCTCCTGGTCCTCGGCCCCGCAGCCTCCCCAGACTGGCCCTCTCCAGCCAGGCGCTAGGGATCAGGGATCGAGGGGCGGAGGGGCCGCCTCCCTCCTCTCGCAGCCTCATTGAAATTTTGCCCTTGCCTAAGAATCCTCGGTTGAGAGCTCATCCCTATTAATTCTCACCGTGCATTTAGAGCCAATAGGTTTTTATTTATTCATTTATCTTGGTCTTCCTTCTCCCCTCCCCTTTCTCACCAGGCTGGAATTTACAATTCAGTTCTCAAGTGGCCTTGCGAACGGGATGGACGGGAGGCCTGGGGGGGGTAGCGGGTCTGCACCCTAAACCCTGAAAAAGGCAGTCGCCCCTTGGCCCTTCTTGCACCCTAGGGGTGCACCGGGGCTCACGCTCTGGTTGGCTGGATGTTGGGACAGGCCTGGCAGCCACCGCAGGAGGTGGTGCCAGGGGGCAGGGACCCACCCTGCGATTGCAAGGCTAAGGGGGCAGCAGGCATCTTGCCACCATTAGGGCACCCCCTGGTGGCCAGTTAACACCACCTGCCACAGGTGGAGGAGTTTAAGCTCCCTGAGCACCCACCATCTGCCTGATTCCAGGAGACTAGAAATAATAGGGTATAGCGTCCTCAAGGCTGGAGAGAGACAAAGAAGAGCCAGGGAAGCCACCAAGGGAGTAGAAACAACAGAAATAAGCGAATAACAGCTCCTGCACATTGAGCACCTGCTGTGTCCCAGGACACGTGTGTCTGCGATGCACCCAGCAGTGTGACACTCCTATAGATTATCTCTACTTTACAGAGGAAGAAACTGAAGCTCCAAGAGGGGTGGCCCCAAGCCACCTGGTGGGTAAGTTCCCGGCCTGCCTTCTAGACTTCGTGACCTTGGCAGGATTTAGGCAACCCTTTCTAATCCCTAACATGGGATTAGAACAGAACCCAGCTCACAGCAACCTAGAGATGATTAAACAGGACACGCACAGGACCTGCTCAGGGGAAGCTGCAATAAAAGGTGGTGTGGGGGTTGCACCACTCTTGATGTGACCCCCTCCTCCCTGCAGAAGCCAGTCCCCTGGAAGGATGCTCTCCACCTGCCGAGGAAGCGTCCCCATCCTCCTCGGCCGCACATTTGTAACCAAAGGCAGAGCCGGATGGCAGCCCCTAATGAAATATTTAAGTCCATCAGACAGGTGTGGAGGCGCTGAGGACCCACCCATGCAGGAGATGTTGGAGATGCTCTTCTTCCTCCCTGCCCTCCTCACCTGTCTTCCCAGGAGAGGGGAAGGAGAGGAGGATGAAAACTGCTCCCAGATCCCAGGGCTCGAGGACTTTGCCTGGGCTCAGGCTGGGCGGCACCAGGACTGTGGGGGGGTGACCACTCTACCCTGGCAGCTGCCCTGGGTTCTCTGTGGGAGAGTGCGGGCCAGGCGGAGGACCAAGGCCAAGCGCATCCTGAGCCAGCTTTGGCCAGGAGGGGGCCTCGGACTTGCATTTGATGGTCATCTCCAGCCCTCAAGCTCTTGACTGGAAGCTGGTCCGGTGAATTACGATTGAGCTGCCCTGCCCCACACCACCCCCGACTCCAGCACATTAAGACAATGATTAATATTTAAGAGAAGAAATACAGTCAAGACTCTGATACGAGAGGCAGAGGTTAACCCTGCTCAGGGAATGTGGAGAAGTCCTCACACGAGCTGGGGTGGGCAGCCAGCCCAAGATGCGGACTCAGAGCTGTGCTCCCACCCTGGCCTTGCCCGTGACCTTCAGGAGCCGCCCCCTCGCCCATCCCTGAGCCAGTGAAGCCCTGGGGTCCCCACGGACTATCCAGCCCCCAGCTCCTGGCGCTGTGCTGCCTTCTCTTTCCTTCCCTCCCTAGCTGGCCACCCCCAGTGACAGCCTCCTGACTGCTGACCCCAGGTGGGAACCTAGCTTCCCGGGGTGACTGCTTTGTGATAGGACTGAAGCACCCCCAGGGGACTGAGGCATCCTCAGGAGCCCGGTAGGGACACTTGCTCAGTCCCGCCATCCGTCCAGAGACCCGAAGGCTCTCCTAAGGACACGTGGAGGCAGCAGCCACCCCAATGATGACCCTAAGTCCCTCCCGTAGCTCCTGCAGCCTGGCTGCCCTGCCCAGCCTCGTGCCAGGCACGGGGCCTCCCGAGCACTCTCCAAGGGAAAGGCACCTCTCAGGAGGCAGTTCAGCTCAGCCACTTCAGAGCCAGGCACTTGAATTACAGCTGCGCCCCTTCCTGGTGTGTGACTGGGCCTCAGTTTCTCCATCTATAAGATGAGAATGACAACAGCTAACATCTACGGGGTACTTGCTCTGGGCCAGACCCTATTCTGGGCATTTTACATGTATGAATTAGCTCACTCACTCCTTACAACGACCCTCTGAGTATGTGTTGTTAGTGTGCCCATTTTATAGACGATGGAACAGAGGCCCAGGGACGCCGCTGGTCCAGAGCCCATACCCTAAGACTCTTACTGTACGCCACACAGAATCAACCCGGCTGAGCCGAGGGGAGGACCCCACGGAACGACACATATCAAGCTCTTAGCCCACACACTCAGTGAGCTCGCATCAAATGATCCCTGCTAGTATTACTGTTGTTGTTAAATAGAACTTGAGTACAGAAGTACCCTGTGGCTCTAAGACCCCATCCTCCTCTGACCAGGGACTCAAGAGACAACACCTGAACATCTTCCTTCCCCCTGACTTAACCAGTGACTGCGGTCACCGCAAGTAGGGCTGGAATTAGACAGGGCATCAACCACATCGTGGATCCTAGTTTGATCCCTTCTTCCTTCCTCCCTCTGCACTTCCATCAACGATTGCCCGGCAAAGGCCAGCTCAGGGCTTCGCAGACCCTGGCAAAACTGTTTGCTGGACTGGATCCGGTGGGGTAGGAAGTTGCACCAGAGAAGGGAGGAACAGAGGGAGGTCAGAGTACAATGTTGCAAATAGTACCTCCCTCACTGCCCAGGATGCTGACTTCCTACCAGGGAGGCGGGGCTTATCTGCCAGGCAGGAGAATTGTGACTACTACCGTCTCCCCTAGAGGAAACGATCTTATGGTCAGCTGGACAAGAATTTCCCCATCGCAGAGAACGATGTCACATGATCCCAGAGTCCTCAGGGTGGCTTTGCTCTGGCACATTTCCAAGGTGGGACAGAGACCTGGTCGCAATCCAGTTGCAGGAAAGTCGACCTTGCGTCTGGGTCCTCCCACTGGGCTCACCCCTCCCAAGGGTCTGCCCCAGAGCCCCTCCCGCTTGGCCTGAGTAAACAGAACAGTAGTGGGCTGACTTACGTGGGAACAGAATCTCTCAGGGGGGTCTCCACATGTGATGCCCGAGGGCTCCACCTTCACCTTGACGTACTCCTTCAGGCGCATCACCTTGGGCTGGCAGGCGTAGAACTCCCAGGTGGGGCCCTCATCTGTAGTCACCCAGGATTTGCAGATGTCGTAGTCCCCTGAGGCCAGCGGGAGGCAGTGCAGGAGGAGCGCCAGCAGGTGCAGCATGGCTGTGCCGTCCGCGGGGGCGCGGCCCAGAGAGGCCCTGGACAGGCGGCGACTGGGTCAGGCGGGACTCGCAACCTCAGCATGGAAATGCCACATCTACCAGGCGGTGGAGGCCCGATATCCCAGGGACTCGAGCACTGCCAGGTTGCACAGAGCGAGGAACTTGTTTTTTCCAGAAGGCCGATACGAAAAACTCAGAGCCAGCGTTTCTCAGACTGCTGATGGGCAGATCAAAAAGTCGCCCATAACTTCGTGTCCTCCTGACCTTGGCATTATACCTCTCCCGGAGGTGAGTCCGATCAAATCAGGCAGATTCTCAAATTGTGACAGTGGCTGGAAATGGGATAGGGAGAAAATCCACAGGGATCTGGCATGAGGTCGGATCAGATTGCTTTTAATTTTTGTCCTTCCAATCAATCCGGGTCTTTAAAGGGCCCTTAATGTGTGATGTCCCCAACACAACAGCAAAACACCCCTCCGGCCTGCGTTGTAAAGATAAAACAAAATCAGGAGGTATATGTGTTAGCTGGAAACATGTTCCCTCTACAGGACTGGACGTGGCATCTCAGACCAATAAAAGAGATTTCTTTTCATATGGGCTTATAATGACAACGATCGTGTGGCTGGACTGAAACATGAAAAAGCTACTGAGGCGTTAACCGAGGAGAAGCTTATTTGCCTCTGCTTTGGTGGGGACAGGCGCTAATGGGGGCCAGCTGACCTTGGCTGGTCGCCATCGGCAACTTATTATGAAGTTTCTGAGACTTCAGCTCTCAATCCATCCAGGTACCGGGGGTCTGGCTTGTCTTTCATTGTAAGAGGGGAGGAGAGAGAGCTCATTAGCAACAACACCTGCAACAAATTAAAAAGAGAAATGGAGGAATAAAGATGTATATGAACAAAAGCTCTCCGGCAAAATGTGCAAAAGATGAGCCTACGTTAGCAAGGTCTCCGGAGGAAACTGGGTTAGTTTTATTAATATCGGAGTTGCACGTTTGGAGATGGGGCACATTATTTCAAAAGTGATGTGTTTTCTCCTCACTTAGGGGGGCATTAGGTCAGGAGAAGAGCCCCTTGCTTGGGGTCAGTGACTTTCTAAAAAATCCCCAGGAGCCAAGATTGAATGGTTGCTTTAAAATATCATGACTGACAAGTCAAAATGTCACAGCTGTTAAAGGCAGAGACGAGACCGTAACCCTAGGAGCCGCCGAGACTGCATACAAGGCTCAGCCACACACAGGGGTCCATGCAAGGGCCAAAAATTAAGAGGCAGGTGCCGGGAAATGTCTCTCCAAACTCTGAAGTAGTGAATTTAATTTTTAACTGCAGGAAACTAAGGATGTCGAAGACTTCAACAGAAGTGACTATGATTTGTCATATTAGATTTTCTGACCAAGGCCGAAATTTTGCAATCGTCCTTAGAGAGTATGTCTATAAATGGGTCACTGTTATTATTGCTTTACTATTTTAAGCTACTGGTAATTATTTAAAAGCCCAAACAGATACAACTAAGACAAATGTTACATTGCAAAACACATGGCCCCAGTAATGTCTGTGTTCCCACACAGTGGATACAGCACCAGGAGAACCCGAGTGCAGTCAGCGGGAGGTGGCCAACAGGCCAAAGGTTACCACCCTGCGTCCGGCAGAGGCACCTGCGGTATTAACTATTCTGGTTATTATGCCTGTAATTATTGCCTCTGAATTCCCAAACCTCCAGCATTGGTGCTAACTCCAACCTGACTCTCCCGACATCCTCTTCAGCCATTGTCCATAGAAGGTCCCGGAAGAGTTAACTACCGTTTCCATGAAACCCCATTCTCCACCCAGACACAAACACACTTCTGCCAAAAATGACAAACTGGAGCGGCAGACATTGTCCAAAGGGGGCTGGTGGCTCGGCACCTCCTGGGAGAAGCCCCCAGCCACCACCCCACCGCTCCAAGGTTGGAGGATCATAAATCTGCATTAAGGCGGCCCCTGCCCCTCTCTCTGGCTGAAGGGCTCTTGATGGAGATGAATGAGGAGCCGCGGGGGACCACATTTTCAGGGCTCACCTCTGGTTGTTTAAAGAGAAACCTGTTATAGAGTCTGCCCGGCCTTTAATGCGCTCCTTGCTAGAAAACTCTCAGAAAGAACCCGCCTGGCGACTATTTTTACAACCCGAGAAAATGTAGTAAAAATAAAATAGCGCGGCCGGCAAAGGTTTGGATGCCTCTACCCGAGCTTCGTGCTGCCCAGAAAACAGCACGTCCCTAATTAATTCTTCCAGCCGCGGGCTCCCAACTGCTCGCTAACAGGTAGGGAGCGCTTGACGGCTGGGGACGCCAGGGCACCAGGCTGCGGCTCCCAGGGAGGGCTCAGCTGCCGGCCGCCTTCATCTGCAGGACCAGCGGCCGCTCCGGGCTTGGACGTGCTGGCCGCGGGCCGGTGCGGGGAGGCAGCGAGGCCCGGAGGCCGGGAGGCCGGGGCGAGCGGCGCCGGGCACAACTCGCCAATCTATCAATTGCTTTGCAGTTCTCTTGGCTTAAAGGCCACGCATTCCCTGGAAAATGGGGGAGGGGGCCGACAACGACAGCAAAATCTGCGGGAGAGAGAGGGAATAAATGTTTACAACTAGTCAATCAATTGGGCGTTGCTGGCATCATAGGGGAATTGTGAGCTCAGCACGCGAATATTACAGTCGGTTTTGGCCAAAAAGCAAAAAAAAGGGGGGAGGGGAAAGAGACGCAAGAGTCCCCGGAATAACGATCAGAAAGCAAGAGTGAGAAGCCAGCCGGGGAAATTTCAGAGTAAGAGGTTGGATCCCGGTGGGTCGTGTTCTCCTCGGAAAATAAATCTTCACCTGATATTATTAAGAAACTGCAGCTCCCAGAAACAAATAGAATCAATGCGCTTTATTTTCTTTTAAGAGTCCTCAGGAACCAAGGGGGGGCTGATAGCCAGGGTATTAAAACCCGAAAATTAGATTTTACCAGGATTTCTGAACTCAGATTTCTCTGTCTTATTGGATTAGCGCCTCTCGGAGCTGGCCGGGCTCGGAGCGCGCTCCGCCGGGGGATGCCGGCTGCGCCCTCGCCTCGTGGGAAACTTGCCGCGGTGGGCGCGGTGCCCCCGGGGGGCACTGGAGGGGGGCGCTGGGGGCTTCCCCCGGGACTCAGTCCACCCCGAGGTCCCCTGTTCCTTCTCAGCGGGAGCGGCGGAGGGGGCGAAATCCGCCCTCAGGCGATGGTGCCGCGGACCACGGAGGAAAAGCGAGTCCCCTGGGGCCAAGAAGAAAAGGAGAGCCCGCTTCAGCCGAGGTCACCTTCCCGCCCCAGGACGCGTCCAGTAGGTGCCCCGCTCACCGCCGCCTTAGCGAGCATCACGGTTCCGGCGGCCCCGGTTGCCCCCAGCCCCGGAAGGGAGGCTTCTCCGGCTCCTCCTTTCTCTGGGAGGCCCGGGAGCCCCGAGAAGTTGAGCGCGGGGGGTGGCGCGCGAGGAGGAGGCCTCGTCTGGGCGGCCGGGGCCGGGGCGGGGCGGGGGCGCCGGCGGGCGGGGTCAGCTCCCGGCCCCGGACGCCAAGGAGCCGGCTCGAGTCCGCGCTTCGGGCGGGTTGCAAACGACGTGCATCGCAGGGGACATGCCGGGCAATCCCGTAGCTGCTTTTTGTCTTTCCAAAGTTGAGTGCAAGCCACGGGAACTATTAATAATCACGCCTTTAATAAAGGCCCAGCCTGCACCGAGGGTGCCTCCTCCCTTGACACCCCTACCCTTAACTGGAAGACCCCCGGCAAAGCGTCCGGGAATTGGTTACATCTTTTTTCCCAGCGCTGCTCCCAGCCGCGGCCGCCCCCCGCCCAGCCAGGCAACTTACTCCCGAGCGGGCGGACCCGCGAGCTGATGGTCCTCTTCCCGCCTTCCCGCTGCCCCTGCGCCCCCATCGGCGTGCCACTCACTTCGAGGTTCGACTCCACATCGTCCCCAAAGCCGGACCCCGTGCAATACCTTCCCCCATTAGCCCACCCCTCCACGGTCGGACAGAAGTTTCCAGCCGTGGCTGGGCAAGAGTTTCTCCGTGCAACTCACGCACACCCAGTTTTCGGAGGGAGGGGAAGGGGATAGGAAGAAGGAGGGGCGGCTCTCGACGGCGGCGATTAAATTGGGGTGGGGGAGTGGCGCGACAGAAGGGTTAATTTCCTTTTCACAAACACATCCAGGCGTTCTTGCAACATGCATCTCCACCACAAACACACACACACGATGGAAAAAGACCCAGGAGGGAAAAAGCCAGCCAGAAAGACCAAGCTACTCCTTTAAGATGCTGCTACAATCGCACACTCACACGCCCCTCTCGGGGCGGCTCCAGTCCTGGCTAGTAGCAGCCGCTACCACATAACTTTTGCATCCGAGCCTTGGCTGGGCTGCTTTAAGTGGCTCCTGGGCCCCGGGGAAGCCTGCGTGGTCACCGAAGCCCTTTAAAAATGAAACCAGGCTGGCAAAGCTGCGGCATCTCTCCCCCCGCTCGCCTCCCGGGCTCTCCCCACCCGCCTTACCCCGGCTCGGAGCAGCTTCCCGGAGCGGAGACCCGGGAGGCCGAAGACCGCCACCCGCCGGCGCTCCGCCTCCCCCCTCTGGCTGGCGCTGGGTGGGGGCGAGGGCCGGAGGGCTGCGAGCCGCTGCTCCTTCCCCGCGCGCTCCCGCTGCCGCTGTGGCCGCCGCCGCCGCCGCGGCCGTCAGATCGGGGCTGGGGAGCCCTCCGGCCGCCGGGGGGGCCGCCCGCAGCCGTCCCGGAGACGCGGGCAGGGGGAGGGGGCCGCCCGCGCCGCCCGCATCGCCCGCCCCGGCCGAGCGGGAGGTCGCCGCTAACAAGTGCAAACTTTTTGGCCCCCCTGGGCGGCTCGCAGAAGACCCGCGCTCGTGCACCGGGCAGCCCCGGGCCCTGGTGGGCTTCGCGGCTGCTCGTCGGAGCGCCGGGGCATCCCCCCGGCGCGGCGCGGACCAGATGGCGGGGCGCTTCACGGCCCCCCTGCACTCCGCTCCAAGTTAATGCCGAGGCTAAATCCTCTTGCCATCACTCACGATCACCATCGGGGCTTTTATCTCTCGGTCTGATCCGGGCTGCGTAACTTCCTCTGTGTGGCTTTAACACACCATCCCACCACGGAGCAACGGTCTTCTTAAAGGTGCAGGAAGGAAATACTGCGAGACTCGGGGGACGCGCCACGGCCCGGGGAGGGGCGCGGCGAGCAGGGGCGTCCCGGCGGGCCCGCGGCCAGGGTGGCCAGAGCAGGCGGCCGCGGGAGCGAGCCTGCTCTAGGGGGTCGCTGCCTAAACATCTCCTCCCGGCCCCGGGGCCAGCGGGTCCCTGCGAGCAGAGCGCATCCTCAGCCAGCTCGGGTCAGGCGCCGCGGGGCTGCAGCTTTCTTTTCCGAAACCCAGGCGCCTGACGGGGTGCCAGCGCCCATGGGTGTGGGGGCTGCCCCATTGGCACCAGGGAAGGGGCCAAGTGAGTCAGTCCACCCACCCCCAACAGCCAAGGGCTCAAGGCTGCTGCTCTGTCTCCCTCTGTGAAGTGCTGCCACCCAGAAGGCCCCAAGCAGTGGGTAAAGGGGTGGGTGGGTGGATTTGGGGAGATGGGGAGGGGGAGCGATCTGAGCGCACAACCAGAGCCTGAATACCAGCTGACACATTGCCGCCTCCACCCTGATGGGCCCTGCTTTTGACGGAGCCAAGCCAGCTCCGGAGGGAGTGCAGAGTAGGGGGGCAGGAGGGGCCTCCCTCCCTGGCAAGCATGGGAGGAGGGTGGGGGAGGACTCCTTCCGGGGTCAGGGCAGAGGCCATGGAGCTGGTGACACTGGGCAGCCCTGGACTCCTCAACCCCGTGGAGGTTTCCTGCCAGGCTGCCTCCCAGGGCCGTGGGGAGAGCTTCCTCCGTCTTCCAGGGGGACGTGTGGTTTTCAGGTGCTCCTGGCCTCCTGGGGTGGGGGGTTCTCACTGCAGCACACAAGCAGACAGCACTGTCATTTAGATGCATCAAGAACAAGGAGCCTGAGGACAGAGAGAGAGAGGGACTGGTCCAAGGTCACAGAGGGTGTCAGGAATAGGAGCAAGATGTGGCACCTCGGTGCCTCACCCCTCTGCCACTTCTTCCCTCCACCTTAACCCTTCCCTGATGTTGGCTCCCCCCAGCTTGTAGAGGGGGCGGTACTGCTGAATAACATTTAGGCTATTGTCATAAAGCAAGCAGAGGATGCAGAATTAAAGTCATCTACTTGAATAATAATAATAATAATTTAACATTTGTTGAACACCTGTTTTGTGCCAGGCTCTACACAAACCAGTTTGTGTATGTTGTCCACTGATTCTTCCCAATAGCCCCGTGACTTAACTCCTATTAGCAAAGTCTCAAGTTATAGATGAAGCTGAGAGATGTTAAGTAACTTTCCCAAGGTCACACAGCTAAGGAAGACTCTGGCTTGGAAGGCAGGGCTCTTGGGCTCCCAGGTGGTACTCTGCCACTGCCTGACTTGCTGGCTAACTTGGCACACAGCACAGGGTGCTTCTGGGCCTCAGTTTCTTCATCGCTGAGATGTGAATGATGAGCCTTTCCTTTGTCAAGAAGGGGTCAAAACAACGCTGTTACGTACCTCCTCCTGCACACACTCTCAGATCCCTCTGACCGGAGAGGGGCCTACCCGACCAAGCTGGCCAGGAGAGCAGATGCACGCCAGCCCCTGGCTACCGGCTGCTCGGCCTCAAAGCATCCGAGGAAGGTCGGAGGAGGAGGAGGAGAGCACATCTCAGCGATTTGATTTTCAAGCCCTGAGCCTGCAGGCAGCTGCGAAGGGCACAGTGTGGGGCTCCCGCCCAGGCAGGGTGAGTGATGACCCAGGCCGGCCCTCAGCCTGCTGTCGCCCCCAGACAGGGTCATCAATTCCCAGGAAACGCCTTGCTCCTCCATCATCACCGAAACTGGATGCTGTCAGGACAGCCAACGCGACGTGGAAGAGGAAGCTCCCCATCTGTGGTTCATGCAAGCCCGCTGGAGGGGCCCGGGGTGCGCCCTCTGGTCACTGCCCGGATGGTTGAAGTGACCCACGGGCAAAGCTCTGTGCCACTGGAAATGATGTTTAAAACGCCTCTCGGGCAAGCTGGGGCCAACAGGCTGTTACAGGGATTCATTCCTGGACCTGTCTTCTGGTCTCCCAGACCGTGGAAATTATGCGACGGTGGAAAGAGCACTGGCCTAAGAGTCAGGATAAGGGGTTTTTCTCCATTCAGCCACTAACTAGGTCTGTGGCTTGGGCTCATCATTTCGTCACGCTTGGTCTCAGTTTCTCCATCTGTCCCAGAAGGTGGTCCCTGTGTGATGATCCTGAGTTGACGGCAGGCCAGAGCAGCCTCCAGGAGACAGTGTTCCTTTCAATCGAACAATACAGGGCTTATTTTCCAAGATGGGGAACAAATAGGATTCCAGCCATGTAGGGACCAGGTGCTCAAGGGACGTTCATTTTTAAACTTCGTTAAGGTACCTTATGACAAATGACCTTTTCCCAGCAAGGAAAAGAAGCTGAGCACCAGGGGCAGGAAAGTGTTAATGAATCTCCCCAAAAATAATTGCTGGCTCCCCTCTCAGCAGCAGCCTAATCACCCTCTTCATTGGTGGGATTTTGGCTCCACTGCACAGTTTTAATTTGGATCGTGTATGTGGAGTCTCCTATCGAAAAGCATCTGCAGAACAACGCATTTAACTTTATTCCATCTATTTTTTAAACAAGGAGATATATATCCATTCTGTATAGATATATACAAAATTACATTATATATAAAATAAAGATACCAAAGTATGAACAGGGGAAATGGGGAATGACATGCTTTATTTTGTATGTATTCTTTCTGTGTTGCTGGACTCGTTTATAATGAAGAAACATGCATAGATGGAACGGACAAGTAATAGGGACTTAGAAAGTCACACGCAAAAATGATCTCCTAGCTTTGCAATGAGAGGTAACAGATGAGGTCCAGGCACTCTGGGGATTTCCGAGAGAAGGCAAATCCTGATGCAGACAGACAAAATGAGCTCACCACCCACTGAAGTCGGATGTAAGCTCAAAAGCCACCCCCTGCCACCTTCTCACCCTTCGCCTCATTCACTCTGGTCTAGCTTGTGCCAGACCAAGATTTTGATTTGTCCCCTTGACCTTGAGCAGTTGAGACTTGGCTGTAAGTAGCCGGCAAGATCCTGGGAACTAGCCCAAGACCACCTAGGGGTTTCCAGGCATCCCTGGGCCCTTTACGTCCACAGCCAAGGCAGGGGCAGGAGGAGAGAGACCAAGCCCCCAGCCCAGGGCCTTCCCCAAGGTGACCCCTCCAGGCAGGGGCAGAGGCTGCAAGAAGCCCCCCAACTCCACCCTGCCAGTTCTCGCTCTAATCTCTAGACCATACTCCCATTAATTATTATTACCGTATTAATCATACATGTGATTAATTCAGTAATGGTGATTCATAATTGATTGCATTTTATATGGCGCCTTTCATCCACACATCTCCCAAGATGTGCACTGCCTACAACAAGAGGCACATAAAGCAAGACGTGCTCTTTGCTTGCCTGCACTTTGTTGGATAAACTTCTCTTCGCAGAGGCAGGGGGCTAATGGTTTTCGGGCAGCCTGGGCTCGCCAGCGCCAGCTCCCTGCCCATCTCCCTGCGGAGTGCAGCTCAGGCAGTGCGTTCCCGGCCAGGGGCTCCTGCCTGGTGGTGGCCAAGCCATGGGAACCCTGCAGACCCCATTTTCTTGGCAGGTAAGTCTGCCTGGGCCCCGGGCTGCTGGGCGAGACCAGCTTGGAGGCGGTGCCAGAAGTGGCGCTGGATGAGGGCTCTAGAGCTCGACTCTGGGAATGAGTCCTACCCCTCCTGCTAATTAGCTGTGTGACCTTGAATAAGCTACTGCTCCTCTCTGCCTCAGTTTACCCAAAAGAAAAATGGGATTAATAAAAGTCTGTCTCTTCCTAGGCTTATTGTAAAGTTTACATGCAACGAGTCACGTAGAAAACACTAGGAACCTGGCACAGAGTAAATGCTCAATAAATGTGAGCAGCAGCTGTGGGATTCGTGGGCCTGGCGCCAGCAGCAGCCACTCTGTGACTAGGCTAGTCTCTTCCCTCGTCTAGGCCTCAACTTTCTCAGCTGTAAAATGGGATGAGCGGTCAACTTCGAGGGTTCCTTCCGGACCTTAAACGAGCACTGACTATGGTGATGCTTGGGACTCAGGACTTCAGAGTCAAGGAGCCCGGGGCTCACACCCCTGCTCACCGTTTCCTAGCTGTGCGACCTGGGGGAAAGGACTCACCTCACCAAGCCTCAGTTGCCTCCTCTGGAAAATGGGGATAATAACAGCACCCAACACCTAGGCCCTGTGTCAGGATTTAATAAGGTAATGCTTGAAACCTGTTTGGCTTCTAGAAAGTGCTTAACACAAGGTGGCTCTGGTATTCCACACAGGCAGGGTGCACAGCAGTCGACTGGCGTTCCCACACTTCCGCTTCCC